GGCGGCTAGATGACTCTGGAAATGCCTAAACTCCTCCTCGTAGTATAAATGTCCTTTGAGTAACCTCAGAGATCACTAGATAACGCAGACCATGCTGATGCAGAGAGTCCATGAGAGTGAAAGAGTAATTGGTAGCACCGAGGCATCAAAATTTGAGCCCCAAAAGTTAACTGCTATGAAAAGGAGTGATGGGACCATCTTTCCACATGAAAATCTTTGCCAAGGCGCTCACTGAAACGTATGCTGGATGCCAAGGTGTCACTTCTGACTGAGTGTCTCCTAGCACCCTCCTTAATTCCACAGCACCACTTCATTCTGGGGTGTTTATAGCCTGAACACTTTGCAGCGGTGGCTGGAAGCACAAGCGTCAGAGCTAGGTGGTGAGCAGACTTTCGGGCGGCCACATGAGCCTTGTGTGGTTCACTCAACTTTGGAAGATTTATATGACAACCTGGTGGCACCTCGAGGTTTAAAATGGTGTGATACTTCCTCAAGAGATGCCTAGGTCTGTTTATATACCGTTCTGGTAGAGATTTGAGGGTGAAATGTCCCTGATTCACCATTGCTGCAAATGCACTCGCACAGGGAATGCAGCCATTCAGGTGCTGTTGTGTCGAACGAGCAGGGCAGCAACGACTGACAAGAGAGCCGTGAGTCATTCAGAGCTGTGCATCTCTGTGTACCTCTGATCTGAAAAGCCCGAACAGATGTCTAAGCTTTTCTGAAATGCTTAAGAACAGCTGGCTAAATCCAGGGACCACCAATGGGGTGTGTCTTGTCAGTGCCTAACTGCTCAGCAGCCTGCCAGATGCTGGCAGCAGCAGCCTGCGAGCACATGGTGGGGGCTGAGCTCACCCTGGCTGGAAGCAGATTCGTCCCGAGGCGACCCCTCTCTCAGAGATGTTACCCACATGTCTAAGAAGACCCTGCTAATGTTTTCAGACCAGATCAGAAATCACAAGGTTGCAAGAATTGCTCGGGAAACATTTTCATCATTGCTCAGAATAAAGTTGGACCCTGCACCAGCACCCAGAGAGGTACAAAAAGTAAGCAAGGCAAATTTTTGGCTAGTGAGTTAGAATTCAACTATCTCTTGGTAGAAAAAATGGGAAAAAACAAACTGAAGATACCCCAGGGGCAGAGCCCTGCATGCTGCAGGGGAGACCCCCGCTTGCCGCTACCCACGGAGCCCAGGAGATCTGCCAGCTCTCGGACAGGTACCTGCTGGTCCAGGAACTGCGTCAGCAGAGCTTGCAGTTACCCAGACAAAGCCTCTCAGACAGCTTTCTTTCAGAAACACAGTCTGCCACACCTAAAAGCACCCAGAACTGAAACTGGGGAGGAGATGACCCGTTCAGAGTCCAGCCTGGTACGCCCCATCCACACCCCAGTCCCCTCATCTCTTCACAGCGGAAGGCCCAAACTGTTGTTCCCACTTTTCAGACCTCAGCTCCACCCAGACTGCTCCAGGCAGAGCACACGTGTCACAGGGCACTTGGGGGAAGGTAGAGAAGACCACAGCTGTGTGGTGGGCTCGGGCAGGAAGCCCAGTGCCCTCCACTTCAAGCCTAGCTTGGAGGGGCACAAGGCAAGCACCAGATGATGAGGGGTGCTTCAGGAACAGGGGTTCTGTCCACATCTTTAACCTCAGCCAGGAGCCTTCCAAAGAGATGGCCTCCATGCCTTCCCCGCTTAACCCTCCCTCCATCCTTGCACAGTTGCTCTGCCCATAACCCTCTCAGCAGCGTGGAGGAGCTGGGATATGCCTCCAGCCCGTCAGTGCCCTGTGTGGTTTGCTCTCC